GCTTAAGGAAAAAACTGCATGCTGGGTAGAGAATTCTAGTTCACAAATACTCAGTTGCTCTGAAGTTTCTCACGGAACACCATTTGGAATTTTTTTGTACTGTAAGATGGGCTCATGTGCATAATTGTGATCTTTTGGGGGAAAAGTTAGCTCATTCTAATTATTGCTCTGTAAACAGAAAACCACGAAGATGTGATTAAACTTTTGGTTTTTTTTTTAACAAATTTGTAATACATTTCTTTTTTCGGCTGTACGTTTGTTAAATGGAGGTCAACTTCCTTCGCGCACATTAGTTTTCTGTTTTACGTGCTAGAAAGGAGACACTTTCGTGCTTAATATTTATTCAAAAGTATCAAAAATTTAAAGCTAAGAAATGCAACAAATAAATATACGAAGCTACTTAATGTCAATAACATATCATTAATACGTTATTTATCTACATTTGTAGTTCACATTTCAGTTGACAGAGGAGTTCCTATACAGTCCTATCTTAATGTTCCTATGTACATATGTATACTACTCTATTTATTTATCATTTACAGGCTTCCCTTTCATTTGCAAGCGCACTTGCTTATCTATTTCTTGAGTATTATGAGAATTCTAGTTATTTCTATTTCTTTAAAAAAAAAAAAAAAAAACCAAGTGTTGCGTTTCTCGTTATGAAAACTATATACGCTTTCTTTAATTTATTTATATTATAATTTATGCCAAATGTTTTTCAGCCATGTGTGTATGCGTAGTTTTTCCTACAATCTGTAATCAGATTGTAATCAAATACATTAGGCCTTTTGCCTTGAGCTGCGCCAAGACATTGTAGAGTTGACATTATATATTAACCAATTGAGACATTCATTATAACATTCATAAAGCAAGAACTTTCTAAATTAAACGGCTGGTTGCTAAGTTACCTGATTTGTTGATTGTTTCTTTGGCGTGGGTGTGTTGTGGTTGTGTCAACGTTAAGGTAGGGAATACAATGGCAGAGGGGGAGAGAGAAGGGTAGCAAGAGAGAGAGAGAGAATGTGTGTGTCAGTAGGATCGACATTCAGTTAGAAAGCAAGAGTCAGCGAGAGAGAGAGAGAGAGAGAGAGAGAGAGAGAGTGAGAGAGAGAGAATGTGTGTGTCAGTAGGATCGAGATTCAGCTAGAAAGCAAGAGTCAGTGAGAGATAGTGAGAGAGAGAGAGAGAGAGTCAGAGAGAGAGAGAGAGTGCGTATCAGTAGGATCGAGATTCAGCTAGAAAGAGAGAGTCAGCGAGAGAGAAAGAGAGAAATAGTGTGTGTGTGGATCAGTAGGATCGAGATTCCGAAAAAGAGAGAGACAATCAGCAGAGAGAAAGAGAGAGAGAGAGAGAGAGAGAGAGAGAGAGAGAAATGGTGTGTCAGTATGATCAGGATTTAGCTAACAAAAGAGAGTCAGTCAGCAAGAGAGAGAGAGAGTATGTGTGTGTGTGTCAGTAGAATCGATATTCAGCCAACAAGAGAGAGACGGTCAGTGAGAGAAGGTGGGGGTTGGGGGGGGGGCAAGAAATAGCGAGAGACAGTGAGAGAGGCCTCGAGAGAAAGAGCTAGATGGGAGAGAGATAGAGAGAGAGAGAGAGATAGAGAGAGAGAGAGAGAGACGTTCGTAGAAAGTCGAGTAAGATTTTTTAACGCAAAGAAAAATGAAATAGTGATGTGACTTTGACCATCCATCTTCCACAGAGTACCGACTGGTCTTTAAAAAAATATGAGTCTAATAAATATGTATATCCACTTTTGAGAGCATGTAATGTGAGATTAGAACCATAAGAGATGCGGCCGGGAAAGGGGGGAAGGGATAAGAAGACACACAGGATCTCCAGTGATGAACTGAGAACATTGGTAGACACAGCATGTGTAGATGACTGGTAGGCACAGCATGGGTAGATGATTGGTAGGCATAGCATGTGTAGAGGATTTTTAAAAAAACATTTTGTTAAAAACAAAAAGTTTAGTCATATGTCAGAACAGAACAAAATAAACCAGCATGTAGAGCACAATACGTGAAAACAGCAATCACGAGACCAGCCAAGAAAGAGTAGGGCAGCAAAAGAGACAATACATAAACGCAATATGACATTAGCACTAGCTACATAAGTAGAAAAAGGGACAGGCAACTAAATCTAACTCCTCTCTGAGGCGCTTTACGGCAAAAGCAGTAAGACAAAAGAAAGAGAACAAGAAGAAGAAGTCTAGCTAGCCGACTGTTGGAGTGATATTTTCAATCAAATCTGACACAGATGATCTTCCATGTCATAATGTCCACCTGCCCAGCATCTGTTCTCGTGGTCTCCCTCTGCCTCTCTTTCACTCTGACTTTCCCACTGTCACGATGTACTCCAGTTTACTCCTTCTCATCACATGTACAAAGAATGTAGATTGTCTCTTTCTGATGTGGGCAATCAGTTCTCTTCGTGATTCATTTGTTTTCAAGACTTGCTTAATTACTCCTGTTATCTGTCCGGGATATTATCGTCACTC